GGAATAAATACACCATGTTAAATGTGTACTGACACATACACTATATTTGTGTTTAACAACTGTTTTAGTAAAACTTAAAATAGACTACACAAGAATAAATACACCATGTTAAATGTGTACTGACACATACACTATATTTGTGTTTAACAACTGTTTCAGTAAAACTTGAAATAGACGACACAGGAATAAATACACCATGTTAAATGTGTACTGACACATACACTATATTTGTGTTTAACAACTGTTTTAGTACAACCAAAATAATTTATTAAAATATATTAATTTTTTATTATTTTTGCTCTGTAAAACAAGTTTTGATTTTTTTTTTAAAGTACTTGACAATTTTTGTGAGTAAATCTTTCCTTTTTGTTGTGAAATAACTTCCTGAATACAATACCTGTTTCATATTCTGAACATCTATCCTATACTCAATATGTAAAATGTTAATACAGAATAGCTAAGTCATGCTTTCCTTCTTACAGTAAAGAAGATATTAATGTTGATTGGTCACTTATCAAAGCTGTGATTCTCTCAAACTCTGTTTAAGAATAATATACTGGCTTGAGGTTCTGCTGGGTGGTTATTACCAAAAGTTTCAAATTTTATCACAAAATGTTTTCAACAGCAAAAAATGAAACAAGCAACCAATAAACCAGCTGTTATAGAATAAAAATGGTTTCTTCTTAGTTATGAACAGCAGTCTATGAAAAGCTAGAGTTTAAGTATTGTATTAAATGTAGTTAATTGTTTATTTTTGAAAACAGTTTTATTTTGTTTAATTTTAGCTATAGAACCAGTGAGTTGTGTTTAATTTCGTGCTAGGTTAGTTGTTAGTAATACTTACAAATTAAACATTATGTAAAAAATCTCTGTGTGTGTGTGTATATATATATATATAAATGTACTTAGGTCGCTGCTCGAGAGTTAATGGAGAAACACTTCCTCTTGAGTGCTAAACAGATTAATTCTAAATATGAAGAAAACTTGGAATCAGGAGCAAAGAACAAAAGAATTAAAGAGTGAGTCTTTATCTAATTTAACCTGATAATTAGTTACAGTCTAAGGAGTCTCAAAGTTAGAGCAGTTTAAATATATTAAAACAGCACTTGTGCATATACATACATATATAATTAAAAAGCAGACATTAAAATAGTTGCACAATTATTGTGCTCTTTTTAATTGTATATAAGAGCAATTCCTTGTCTGGTTTAACACAATGAATGATCGTAGTCAAGCATAAGAATATTTCATGATGTTTGCATTGCTTCTATGACTGACAATATCATTATTCATAAAAACAATACTAGGAACTGAACTTACTACTGACAATATCATTATTAAAAACAATACTAGAACTGAACTTACTGACAATATCATTATTCATGGTATTAAGTTCAGTTCCTAGTATTGTTTTTGTAAATATTGATATTGTCAGTAGTAAGTTTAGTTCCTAGTATTGTTTTTCTGAATAATAATATTGTTAGTAGTAAGTTCAGTTCCTAGTATTGTTTTTATAAATATTGATATTGTCAGTAGTAAATTCAGTTCCTAGTATTGTTTTTATGAATAATGATATTGTCAGTAGTAAGTTTAGTTCCTAGTATTGTTTTTATGAATAATGATATTGTCAGTAGTAAGTTCAATTTTTAGTAGTTTTGTGAATAATGATATTGTCAGTAGTAAGTTCAATTTTTAGTAGTTTTTATGAATAATGATATTGTCAGTGGTAAGCTGTTTCTAGTATTGTTTCTGTGACCTTGTAACCTGAGCCAATAAGCATTTGTTGTCTCAGACACACCAGTAAGTATTTAAAGAACATCAGCTTCAGGTTTTGTTGAATTTTGAAGTTCTACATTGATATTCTTTATTGGTAAAGGTAGGGAATAGTTTGAACCTTACAATCTGTGATTGATTTATTTTGACCCAAAAGTTCTGTATTGAAAGAAAGTTTTAAATTTATTTTCTGCCATGAAAGATTTTATTTTGAAGAAATGTACAGATGAGATCCTACTTCATAAAAAATGTTTACAGTCTTCGGGTTATCTGTAATTATCATTTTTTGCTAATTAGTTGATAGTATTAGGGTTATTTTTTATGTGCTCCAGTTATTTGTCATTATAATTGTATTGAAAGAAAATTTGAAGACGAAGTAATTTCTCTAGTGATTTAAAAATGAATGATACATTTCATGAAAAAAACTGGCAATCTTTGAACTATAACATTGAGTTAAAATATGCATCTCAATGAAGAGAAAAGTTTATTTACAATAGGAAAATATAGATATCTTTGAAATAAAGGATCAAGATGAAATAACTCCTTGTCTTAGGGAAAATTTAGACACATTTTAGGTCAATGAAATTTCTACTTTACATTTTTAGGTTGATATTGAGTTAAATTTGTATTTTTGCATATTAGAACATATGTACTTACTGTGCTTTCTTGTTAGGTATGAAATGCAGGCACTACTTGCTTTAGAAATGGAAGCAGCTATGCCTTCTGAAAGTACAGTAGAAGAAACCATTAAAAAGGTGAATATTACCTAGTTAATATTCCATTATTCCTCACCTTTTAGGTAGTGATTATTTTACAAACAGGTATAAGATTTCTTTTCTGCATTTGTTACTCTGTGGTTTCTTACAAACAAATTGCAAGGTCATTTAGAAGTATATTTCATTAGTTTTTGGTTTCTTTATGACCATTTAGAAGTATATTTCATTAGGTTTTGGTTTCTATATGACCATTTAGAAGTATATTTCATTAGGTTTTGGTTTCTATATGACCATTTAGAAGTAT